TCAACTACTTCACTGGGCAGGGAATGCCACAGATTCACAACCCTTTGTGTGAAGAAGTTCATTCTCAACTCAGTCCTAAATCTGCTCCCCCTAATTTTGAGGCCATGCCCTCTTCTAGTTTCACCAGCGGTGGAAAAAACCTCCCTGCTTTTATCTTATCTATTCCTTTCATATGTTTCTATAAGAACCCCCTCATTCTTCTAAATTCTAATGAATATAATCCCAGTCTATTCAGCTTCTCCTTATAAGCCAAACCTTTCAACTCCAGAATCAACCTAGTGAATCTCCTCTACACTCCCTCCCATGCCAATACATCCTTAGATGAGAAAGGAGACCAAAACTGCATGCAGTACTCCAGTTGTGACTTCACTAACACCCTATACAGCCATAACATAACCTCCCTGCTTTTAAACCCAACCCTTCTAGCAATGAAGGACAAAATTCCATTTGCCTTAATTACCTGCAAACCAACCTTCTGCGATACATGCACAAGGATACCCAGGTCCCTCCGCACAGCAGCATGCTGCAATTTTTAACCATTCAAGTAATAGTCCTTTTATTGTTATTCCTACCAAAATGAAGGACTTCACATTTATCAACATGGAATTCCATCTTGCAGACCTTTGCCCACTCAAACTATGTATACCCCTCTGCAAACTTCCAGAGTCCTCTGCATACTTCGCTCTACCACTCATCTTAGTGTCTTCCGCAAACTTTGACACACTACATGTGGTCCCCAACTCCAAATCGTCTATGTAAATTATAAACAATTGCGGTCCTAGCACTGATCCCCGTGGCACACCAGTAGTCACGGTTCGTCAAGCAGTAAAGCACTCATTTATCCCCACTCTTTGCTTCCTGTTAGTTAACCAATCCTCAATTCATGCTAATGCATTGCCTGTAACGCCATGTACCTTTATCTTCTGCAGCAGCCTTTTGTGCAGCACCTTGTCAAAGCCTTTTGGAAATCCAGATACACCATGTCTATTGGGTCCCCGTTGTCCATCGTGCTTGTAATGTCTTTATAGAA